TGTAGAAGAACTGTCTGTCTGTGTGTTATAGATTGACTTAGATTGACCTCCCCCGGAAGTGGGATGGTTCTAACTCTGTCATGTCATTTTTTTATAAAATAACAGTCCATTTTCTGTCTGCCTTTAAAAAGTCACACTTCTTTTTAAAGGAGAAAAATAAACATGATTATCTTAAAGAGAAAATACTTTAAAAAGACATTTTCTATGACAAACATTCAGTTCCGAAGCTGTAGAAAAACATGCAATGTTCTTCAAAAAGGTGTCACTGTTCATCTTCTGAAAGGGAATGTCCTGAAACAAAGGATTCTTTTAAAACTGTTATGTCCAGGGGAAAATCCTGGGAGTAAACTCCTCGGCAGGTTTCCCACCTCAAGGTCAAAAATGAACCACAGTTCTCATTAAGACGATCTGTCTGTTTCGTGGGAAATTAGTTCATATTGGCAGTGAAGTTAACACAATGACAGTTTTTCATTACATTCGATTAGTGGCCACTAAGGAGTTTGTAAGATGAGTTTAACACCTCTAAAATAAAGTCTGTTCATTCCCAAGGGAATAAATGCATCTTATTTTAACAGTTTAAAACACAAACACATGAATGATATCTGTTTAAGTTGGGGTGGTGGTTGGGGTGGTGTTCCCCTACACAATTAATGATGTGATTATATGTGAAGCTAAGCTCTGGGTAAATTTTTAACAATTCAGTACAGATGTGTACTTTAGAATTATGGTTAATTTGATTTTTGAACTCAGCATTAATTGGGTGACAGGTCTTCTCCAACTACCTTGAGAGATGAGATGATTTATAGACTGACTAATTATGGGATGGGTTTAATATTAACGTTTACAGTTTATTAACAGTATTATGGAGTGTTATGATGTTTTTTTCCTTAATATTAACATGGTTGAACAAGATACTTATGCATGGTACTTAGCCAAATAATCGTTTTGTGTCAATATTCTGATTTACCTCATTTTGTATTTTGCTTTGTGTGTTACCTGTTGTTTTGTCTGTACATCACTTTGGTTGGCCTTGTTGCTGTTTTAAGTGCTTTATAAATAAAGTGGTATGGTATGGTATGGTATGGTGTCCTGATAGACAAGATGTGAAAGATCTTTTTTTGCAATACCACTATCTACCCTCGTGTTTCTCCCCCTTTTCCCATCTAAGATTATTATTCTGATAAAGGATAAGAGAGGCCACGCTTAGAGCAGCAGCTTTGTGCATTCCGTCCATCTTCTGGATGACTGCATTTACATCTTCTTGTTGTATCTCGGTGCAATGATAGTAAAGCTTATTCTAATTATCCTGGAGAGATAGCCTGCTAACGTACAAAAAAAGCACTCCGTAAATCTAGAACTTTATATTATTAATATTTAACTGATGATAATAAAAATAACCCCAGGTTCCTTTTCAGTACCATAACTAGTCTAATGAAAAATCCTATCTCTGTTGATTCATGTATCCCTACAACCATAATCAGTTTTTCATTCAACCTTTATTTAGACAGGTAAATCCCATTGAGCCTCGAGGACTCATTTACAAGAGAGACCTGATTTCAACAAAGAATGATGACAACAATGGACAACAGCAACAACAATAAACAGTTATAAAAAGTCATAGAATTTATTATATATTTTTTTTACAATTAGAATGGCTAAAAAAAAAAAAAGTAACAAAAATCAGCTAGATTCTAAGGCAAATGTAGAAAACTACATTCGCCTTAGAATCTAGCTGTTTTTTGTGAAGCTGTTTTTTAGCTGTTTTTTGTGAGTTTTTTTTCACGAGATTCCTTATAAATAAAGTTGTTTCAATTAGGGAAAAAATTCAAACCAGCATTCCTAGTATCTCCTCTGGTTCTGTGTCAGATGAGACAACTTTAATAATGACACTATAACCTGATTTATGTTTGGACAGTTTTTGTCCTGTTGAGCTCTCTGAATTGTCAAAAATAATAGCTTCATCCAAACCATCCACGTCTGCTAAATCCCATCCCAACCAGGCTATTTAAAGACATTTCCCTCACATGTCACACTCACACTCGTACTTCACAAACACCAACACTTGAGAAGAAATGATGAGAGCCAAGTGGAGTCACACTTATCACTGGCAAAGCGGCTTGAGGTCAGTGGTGATTCAGATACAAAAGAGCTCAGATTCTGTGTGTGTGTGTGCGTGCGTGCGTGTGTGTCTCAAAGCAATCTGTTGGCTCCTTAGATAAATAAATGATAAATGGTCTGTACTTTTATAGTGCCTTTTTTGATATTCAAGATTTTTCACAGTTTCTTTTTACACTTTATATTTTTGCTATTGTTGGATGTAACTGGGACCCTGTGTACATGCTGGTGAAGATTCTCAGTCATCCAGGACATGATGAATTCAAAAAGCGTTCAATACAAAAACAACTGGACTTTATTTGTAACAGAAGACGTTTCGCTCCTCATCCGAGGAGCTTTCTCAATTCAAAGAGCAGAGAGTGAGAGATTCAGGTTATAAGGCTGAGTGAGATAAGACACACACACATATGTAGATTGACAATTCACACCTAAACAAACTTAACAGTAAGAGTCTTTTGTTCCTCTAATTCACAGACGAGGCCCCTTTGTTTCCATCAGGTGTGAAAGCCGGCTGGGAATCTGTTTTAAAGTTGCATTATAGGTTTTTGAAAGTGGAAATCTGAGGCCTCCTCCTCTGTTAAGAGACGGCTTTTCTCT